CTCAGACCTCACGCAGGTCAGCACCAGTGAGCAGCTTGTGGTCGACTGCAGGAGTTGATCATCTGATGAGGAACATCCTTGTCTCTTACCAGAGCTCTGCAAGGTCCCTCGTCATGTCTCTTGGTTTATGTCTGCAAATCTTTTAATGCTTTGGGGCGCAGGGAATTAGGGTCCTGCCTCTATGGCAGTGCATTTTCCCTGGTGCTTTGCCCTCTCCAGATGGAGGTGCTGTGCCTCCATTTCCCTGCCGTACCCCAGAATATCAGTGTGGCTGTGAAGTGCCAAATTACTGCCGCAGCGCGGAAACTGGTGCTCAACAGTCTGCTGGGAATTGGGTTCTGATGACTGGCATACGATGGTGACTGACATTTATTCCAACCAGTATCCATTTTACCGTGGGCTGTCCTGCTGCGTACCCCAGCACTGGGGGTAAATGAAGAGGGTCTCTTCTTGGGAGCCATCCTGGACTCCTTGGAGCAGAGAGCGAGGAAAAAGCTTTGTTAAAAACGTGAAATGAACTGAATGATATGGGATGGCATTCTGGTGTGAAATTTAACATTGAAATCTGGATCATTGTGGAAAATGAATGATTCAGGGTGGTGAGGACAAGGCAAAGACAAGCTTGTCTCTAAACTTCTTCCCTCACCATCCCAAATCCCACCAAACTGAACACTTAAATGCACTGATGCCCTCTTAATTCAAGGGACAACCAGTAGCTCTTGGTACCTGGACCATGGTCTTTTGTCAGCCCTGGGCCCTTCCCTAAATGACGACCTCCCCAAGGCTGATGGGATGGGATGGGATGGGATGGGATGTTCTCTTCCTTCTACCTTGTATCACATCTTGCACTTTTATTGTCAGCTATTTCTTCAGAGAATATGCACCAGTCGCTCTTCATGTCCGCCCTGTCTGCCCACCCCGACCGCTCCCTGTCTCTCTGCTGGGAGCAGCACTGCAAACTCCTGCCGGGGGTAGCTGGCATCACAGCAACTACGGTGGCCAAGTGGACCATTGATGAGGTAAGATGGTTTTGAAGACTACATGCTGGCTCCTTACCCACTGGCATGGCTGGGACCTGGCTGTGCAGCAGCGTGGGCACGGAGGTGCTTCAGCGGACGCTTCCCTGGGCTAGTGAGAAGGCAGTCCACTGGACGTGCTTGTGGGGTAGCGTGTGGACAGCTGCCAGACAGGAGCCCTCATGGCAGCTTCTGGGAAGTACATGCAGAACTACCAGGTTCTCGCTTGGCTTGAACGTGGCACGAGCCCGGGGCAGGCAGGCGGAGGCAAGCGGCAGTCTCTTCATTTAGCGTGTTACAGTTTTCCAAAGAAATCAGTTTCATCTTTGCCAAGTTAAAAAATTAAACCATAGACTCCGCAGATAAGAAATCACTTCCTCGTTTCTCTGAAAAAGAAATCTTTACCTCAGATTCTTCATTGTCACCTTCTTTCACTTTCTTGGGCATCTGCGATGGTTTGGGTAGCTGGAGCTCCAGCCCTAGCAGCCAGCCCTGCCTGATTTCTGCAGTACCCTCCTGCGTGCCACTCTCCTGCCCGCACCCCTCAGTGGGAATCATCTTGCTGTGCTGGAGATGGCTCATTGGAGATAAGCTGCAAGGTCCAAGGGTGATCTCTAGGCACGGAAGGGTGCTGTAGCTGCAGCCTTTGCCCTAACAGCCACGTTACCTTACAGGGCACAAAACGCCTCTGGAAGTGAGGATATGGGCTCACGGGGGGTCGCCAGCCAGAAATATTGCTTCTGTCTTGATGTTTTTCTCCATTTATTTCAAGGTCTTTAGCTTTGTTCAGACTCTGACGGGTTGCGAGGACCAAGCCAAGCTCTTCAAGGATGAGGTGAGAAGGGCTGGAGGATGAGTGCAGGTGGCCGAGGACAGCTGTTTGCCAACAGGGCAGGGAGGAATTGGCCAGGGACCTTCCTGCAATGGATTGCTGCTGAATGCTGAGAGCATGTCCAGCACCTGGCAGTGATCCCCCACTGTGGTCCCAGGGGCAGCAGCCCCGCTGCGTTTGAGCATGCAGCTGTCTGCCTGTGCAGATACGGTGACATGAGGGGAGATGCTGACCCCCAAGGAGCTGTGCTGCCCTGTTCTCCTGGCATGGGTGAGGGAGGATGGAGGAGGCTGGGGGGGGGGAGTGGGAGGAGAACGGTGCTGCAGCCTTGGTAGCACCATCACCTCCTGAGGGAAGCTGCTTAGTCCTCACCCATCCATCCTTCCCCGCCTGCGTCCTCTCACCAGCACAGCAGTTTGGTGGCATTGCTGTCTGTCAGCCAGGTTCCTCGGTTTTGGACCCCTCTGTGGGCAGAGGCGCAGAGGGGCTGCTTTCTGGCACGCACGGTACACCCAGGGCAGGCTGATCGGGGCACGCAGGGTGCAGCAAGTGTCCCAGCCCGTCAGTAAACGGCCCCTGTGCTTTAAGGGTGCTCAGCCGTGCAAGGCTGAGCTGGAGGCAGCCTCCGTGTGTGCCAGGACCAGGAGCAGGGAATGGACAGGTGTTTGCCCATAGCAGGTTGCCTGCCAGCCGTGCGCTCTGTGCAGAAGCCCAGGCTGGCTGCAGTGTGAGCTCCTGGGCAGCTCCTGGAAGGGCCTTTCCCCTTCCCTGCTGTGTTCCTGGGCATGGGAGCTCCCAGCTCTGCCTTATCTGGGGCAGCGTGGGAGTGCCGTGGGTGACCCCTGTCCTGCTCCCTGGGATCATCGGTGGCACCTGGCTGAGGGTGAGCACGACTGTACGCGTCCCCAGGTCGTGTCCGTGCTGGCCGTCCCTGGGAAGTCACCGCCTGGGTTTTCGGTGAGTGCCTTTGTCCCTGCTCTCCCCTCCAGATGATCGATGGCGAGGCGTTCCTCCTGCTGACGCAGGCTGACATCGTCAAGATTATGAGTGTCAAGCTGGGCCCGGCACTCAAGATCTACAACGCCATCCTCATGTTCAAGAATGCCGATGACACCTTAAAGTGACTTTTCTTGGCCCGATCGGGACCCTCCCTCAGCACTGGTGCTGCCAAACTGTCTGGTCAGGACAGAGGTTCCCCCCGACTGACCACAGCTTGTCATGTCCTGCTCATGTCCTCTCGGATGCTGCATCTCCGCTCTCCCACCAGTCCATCTCCCATCCTCTCCCCTCCGCTCCGCACTGCCCTTCTCCAGCGCTGGGTACAAGCTGACCCCACGCCGCAGGGGTGGCTGCAGGGACAGGGTGGGCAGGGGATGAGCCTGTCTTAGTGTGACAGCTGTCCCCCGTGTCCTGCTGTGACTGCACTGATTCGGGGGGGTGTTGACGGGGGAGCAGTGCGCAGGGTGTAGCAGCTGAGGGCTGACACCACTACTCGTCACCCAGATAAGGGAAGGGACCAACTGCCCACGTACGTGCTTGCACCCGTTTAAAGGTTGGTCTTGGCTTTGCTCAGCAGCTGAGAGGGGTTTATTTATTTTTTCCCCCCCCTCAGTGTGTTCCTTTGAGGGGCTCGTGCTGACATCGTTCCCAAGGGATGCTCTCAAGGAGCTTCTCCTCACTTTGCCTTTTTCTCTGAATTCTTTTGTCTTTCCCTTTCAAGGCCAGATGACAACTTTACTTTGTCCCTTCACCACACTGGGAACCAGTGGCCCACCTCTTGCCCCCTCTCGGGAGCAACGTGTCCTGGCTGCTGCCCTGCCCACGACCAACCTCTGGGCTTTATTCCTCTTTACTGGAACGCAGCAGCCCCAGGGCCCACGGGGCCAGGACTGGGTGGGTGCGCCACAAGCTCCATCTCCTCTTGCACTTCAGGCTGTCTTGGCCAGCGCGTCTCTGGGAGATGCTTGGGCGACTTGTTCCCCTTGCAGCAACGAAAAAAATCCGCTGCAGAGGAGAGTCGGGCCCTCTTTGGTCTGCGGATCAGGAGCAAGGCCCTTCTAGAGCGCAGGCAGCTGCCAAGGACAAGAAGCATCCGTTCCTCCGTAGGCAGGTCCACGGCTCACTTCCGAAGGCGTTCCCGAGTTGGCTGACTCGATCCTGCCAAGCTGCCTTCAGCCCCTTTTTTTGCCCTCGCAAGGCCCCTGGGTTTTGCTATCTGAAGAGCAGGATCTTCTGCTGTCCCTGGATTCCTTACTTGCAGAACTAGAAGAAATTCAGCAGTTAACTTTTTTTCTGCCCTTTTAGTAACATGGCAGCTTTTCAACAAGGGTGCAGGCACATTGGGAATGCCCACGTAACACTGTTCCTTGTAAGGGTGGAGAAGCCAGGTAGGGTGGTGCTCCAGAGCCAGAAAAGCCAACATGCCTGGGGGGTCCTGGCAGAGTCCCAGGCAGCTCCTGATAGTCCTGTGTCCCCTGGCAGCACCCATGCTGCTCTCACCGTGGTCTGTCATCCCGTGCACACCTGCTGTGGGTACTGTTGGAGCAGTGGTGTGGCAGTGCTGTGCTGGAGGGCGGCCTCCTGCCCCGAGGGCTCTCCGTAGTCTGCAGTGATGGGATCTGCGTCCCACGTCCACTTTCTTTCCCATTCCCAAGAGTGACATATCAGGAGCAAAACAATTTCCCCGTCTTTCTCGGTGCACAAAGACAGGGATGAAGGGATCTTAGCAGGTTCACCAGCAATGTGTGTTGGAGCAGCACTGCCTTGGGAGCCACTGTCACACCTGGGTCAATCTGTTCTAGGCTTCCCATGGAAATGTAGCATTCTGACTCTTTGTTCAATATTTGGGGTCACATTTGACCTGCTCTTGAAACGTCTGCTGCTCGCTCTTCACGCAGGACTTACAACTAGTCCGTGTATTCATTTTGTCAGTGCTTGGGTTTGATTTAGGCAGCTCTCCCTCTCCTTTCCTTTTTTATTTTCTTCCATCTTTTCAAGCGCTGCAGTGTGGCCAGCTGCGGAGAGAGGGGGAGTGGGAAGGGACAGCCCTATCCCTGAGTCCCACAGTCACTCCTCAAGTCACCCCTGATCTGCAGTAAATGGTCCTGAAGTCGGTCCCTTCAGTGGATGGGAAGTCTCTTTCTGGGCCACTGTGTGCTGGGGGAGAAGAGAAGCCCTGGGACCTTCAGCTGGGAGACTCTCTGTGAACAGTGCTGAGATGTCTCCAGGTGTGACCTGGAATGGAACGGCTCCCTTGCACAGCACGTGGTTATTGAGCTTATACGGAAACGTCTTACAAAAGCATCCTATTCTCATCTGCTCCATCCCCTCATGCTAAGTCATTCCTCCTGTTGGGGAAGGGACTAAGCACTATCTGTGGGTGCTGGGAGAGGAGCTGCTACCCGGATGTCACATGTCAAACTAGCTTGAAGGATGGAGAGCCTTGTCTCTCACAGGGCCACCCTGGAGAGCAGAGGTAGTGGTGAGCTCAGAAGATCCCTGCTGAAGGGGAAGAGGAGCCGTGAGCCAAGCCATGGCTGGCCCACAAGACTGGGTACAACCAACAGCGTCAGCTCTTGCTCTGCTGGTGGGTGCAATCAAGCCGTGCTCTGCCTGGGCACCAGCGAAACAGGCAGAGGTGTGTGCTCCAGACCGTGCCAGCCATGGGCAGCAGCAGGAAGCTGTGCCTGTGGGGTACTGCCTTACCTGAGCTCTTTTGGCCTTCCTCCAAGAGAGCAGACGCAGGACAGGACTGCCAAGGTGCTCACCCTCGGCTGTGGGGCTGCTGCTCAGCTGGGCCCCACATCTCTGCTGGTGCTGAGCTCTACGCAGGGCACAGCTGCCAGGAGAACCAGCCCCGCTGGGCAGGTGGTGTGAGATGTGAGGGTCTCTGTCGCACGCACTTACCTGCTGATGACCATCAGGACATCAGCCTCTGGGGCTCAGCCGTTTGGGTACAAAGCTTCTGGGTTCATCTGGGTGAGAGTTACAGGGTTTGTAGGTGGTCAAGGGCTATTTACTGTTAAAACGTAGAACCTTCTTGTTTCCTTTAAAAGCAAACCAAACCCAAAGCGTTGTGTGTGTACGTGTGGATGGGTGGTTGTGGAAGTACCACACCACCATCTACCCTACTGTTGGTGCGTCGCTGTTTTAACGTGGTGGTCTCTGTGGCTGTGGAGGCGGCAGGCTCTGGTCCCAGGGTCTCAGGTGATGCGTCCTCCATGAGCAGAAGTTGTCTCTGGTCCCAGCAGGGAAGCCAGGAGGAGGAAGGTTTGCTGCACCTCTGGCCTTGGCAGGTCCTCCATCTCCACAGAGCATTGATTAGGAGTTCCCCCTCAGGGAGCATCAAGGGCAGCTGCGACCAAGGCAGAAGCACCAAAGTTTTTCATCCTTCCCTTGTTGCCCGACCAAAGTCCTCACAGGGATGTCCGCTGCTGTGTCACTAGGAAGCCAGAGAGGACAATGGGGCTGAGCCTGGCCCACAGGTTCCTCTCTGAGGTCCTTCTGAGAGATGTGACTGCAGCCAAAACTTCTAAGTCAATGAAGAATTGTTCAAGTCAAATGATTTTTTGAGTGGGGGTCCCCAAGCCTGTGCTCCGGTCATTCCTGCCCCTGCTGCTGCAGGGCTTGGCTGGAGCCATGGGACTTTTCCCACCATGTGGTCCAGCCTCGGGCACAGGGTGTCTTCTGGGGCAGGTGGTTCGCAAGTGACTCCGAGTGCATGGGAGCAGTTGGAGCCTCTCAGGAAGATGTTTCTCCCACGTCATGGAAATGGGCAGCATCGTGACGGTGCGGGAGAGCAGCCAGCCTGGAGCTCAGCGAGGAGGGTGGCCATGGCCACCTCCCCAGAGCACCGC